ATTAAATTTTTAATTGTGTTTTTTGTGAATTTAATAGTTTTTTTTAAATAGAGGGTTGTTTGTAAATATGATTTTAATTGAGGTTTTTTTATAAATATTTTTTTTTTAAAAAAAATAATAAAAAAAAAAAAAATAATAAAAAAAAAAATAAAAAAAAGAATAAAAATAAAAAAGAAAAGCCCAAAAAAGGGGGGGGGGGGGAGTTTTTGTCATTAAAAACAAAGATGGCAAAAAATCTCAAAATGACATTTCACAAATGATATTTTATAGTTAGAAAGCCTTGTTTTCTATCTACAGCATCATCAAACATCATTATGTAGGCCTCTTATAAAAGAAAAACATCGTAAACCTTGCAATGTTGCCCGCTCAGAGAAACAATCTTCATTGTTAGATATCATGTGACCTGAGGTAACCAATGAGAGTGCGTACTGTTGGGACAATAAGAGTTAACCCATGTAATATCCAGTTCATCACAAGTCAATCTTGTACCCAGAGTCTTCTGGCTTTTTGGACGTCGGCAAGACTCTGGGTACGAGATGGGACACAATTTGTATATGCCTTGCACTTTTCAGGTTGTAAGTAAGACATTTTAAGCCCCCCCCCCCACCCCCCCTTAACGGACGTACATACGTACATACGTTCTCTAGGTACGAATTTATTATTTTCAAATAGACCATAATGCACCTTGTTTACCCCTAAAATTTTGCATAACCAATGTCTTCGATTTCTGTTGGGACGACTGTAATGCAAAATTTTGGGGGGTAAAAAATATGCATTACTGTCGGTGTGAAAATCGTGGATGGATGATTTCATGAGAACCAACATTTCTTTGGTGAATAGGTAACCAAATTTCTCTTACCCATGGTGTTCCACCCTGCATAAAAGTTGTAGAGTGAAAATGATTTAGGAATGGCCTTCCATCAATTTTCTTTCTTTAACCCTTTAAGCCCTAAGTGTGATCAGCATCAATTTCCTCCTTGTAATATCTTTGCTCCATAAAACATTATGGTCACAAGAATTAAGGGTTTGATCACACAAGATGAATTCAATTCATACTCTAACAACTTCTCCCCACTACTTCTATAGGAAGTGTATAGAGACAACAAATGAGAATTTAAATCTTGATATCAGGGTTTAAAGGGTTAAACTGGATTGCCACACGGATTCTGTCCTATATAGTGTTGTCCTTAGCAACCTATAAGTGTTGTCTTTTGCCGCCATTGATTATTGCACTTAAACTAGCTGCTAATTCATTAAAAAAGCAGTTACAAATTGCTTCCATACAGGAGGATATTAGCTCTCACAAAATCATTGCAAAGTTAAGCTTTGAAATTCTTTAAATATTATTGCTAATTTGAGAGGCTATCCCATTAAGCCCAGAAATCCATGTGATACATTATTTCTCTACATCTCCAGACATTTTCTTAAAGAATAAGCTGAGATCAAAGCATTTTCCATTAACTCCTATTGCCTAAATTCTCTCTTTCTCTTTCTTTCTGGTTTAGGAGAAAAGCGATGTTGATCATGTTCAGGGCTGTGCTCTAACAGAGACCGGTGGCCCCTGGTGCCCAACTTTTGCTCCCGAGTGAATAGAAAATACTAGATTTTTCATAGAAATCATATGCTGGGCACCCTGGATTTCATAGGTTTAGGGTACTAGACTCCTTTCAATTTTTTTTCAGAGCACAGCTTTGACCCTTGAGACTTGAAAGGCTTTACTGAAACCTGTCCACTGTCCACTGTTTCATCTGCTATCCATACAGCTCAAAGTGGGTCTTAAAAAACCTGACGGGGCCGTGTGGTATTAACACACTTCTTTGGGTCTGGATATTGGATGAAACCCTGTCTCCTCTTTAATAATTATTTTACATCAAAATAATGTTCAAACACGTCAAAAAATCTCTACAAGCTTATTGTTCCACTTGCAGTCATCTTAGTAGCACCTTCAGCTTGAACATCATCTGGAGTTCGTATTTCGATACTTGCTGCTGGCTCCATCTTGGTGCTTGATGGTGGTTTTCTGATTGGCCTTTTACTATTTCCAGCAACTATCAGGCTCCCAGGTACATTGACATAAAGGCGCACCCTGAGAAAATTAATGATAACAATAAAAAACAACTATTCATTGTTATATATAGAAGATCAACAGCTATCGATTTCTAGGGGTAATGAACAGGTTACAATTTATACACAACGTTTGACATTCATTTGAGTGGTAGCTAACTTACTGGTAATTAACTTCGCGGATACTTAATTTTGCGATTTTGGAGAGACAGGGTTTTATTTTCACGATTTCAATAGGCAATATATCAATAGGCAATAGATCAAGTGACAAAACGTTATTACACATGAAGACAACTGTTTCCAATTTTATCTTATTCACAAGAACATATACGCTTTTTTGTTAAAACACAAGGCAAATTCCCTTGAAAAAACATATGACCTACAATGGGAAAGCAAAACATACAAGCTATAGAGTTCTATTAATTAGCTCAATTTTAACAGGGTTTTTACATAAATTATTTATTTACATTACTTTTCTCTCTGCATAATCCCTTATATTAAAAGATGCAAGGCAAAGACTTAGACAAACAAAATAATTGATATAAACTTAATTTTATTATGTTACACCCTGATAAGGGTCCAAGAAAGGCCACAAAAAAATAGTTTTTATGCTCAAAACATGGATCATGATTTAAACATTAATTTTTCTGCACATACTTAGCCATCATTAGTTTTGTAAAATTAAATATTTTGAAAGGATCGAAACTGTTATCTTCTTTGTTACAGTTACTACGTACATTATGGACTTCATGTATACTATGACAGTGTTTTATGACAGGGCTGTCATTAAGAGGAGGGGGCTGGGGATTTTCCCCGGCTACTAATTAACCATCTTCACTGGCTACTTTTGAAAGAAAATAAGAGAAAAATGGAACCGAAAGAAATTTCTAGCTGTTTGATTCCCCGCCTACTTGTTGTATTTACCTGGCAACTTGAAATCTTAGTGACAACCCAGAATTTACGCTTTCATAATATGTATGATTTTATACGTTTGGATATTTAAAATGGTTCTTTACTGTGGATGTTTATTTTGTTTCAGTCTGTTGACCCAAGTGTGTTTTACAGTTATACATTGAGAGAAGCAACAAAAAAGTCATTAAAAAATACATTCTTTCAAAATCATCCCTATGCGGAACATTAAATTCTTAATAAGGAACAAGTATGAGTTCTGAGTTATATTCAACACATTACAAGACATTAGGGATGGAAAGAACATACTAACAAGCAACTGCAAAATACTAACAGAGAGACTCTATGCACATCAGACAAGTGCGAGTTTTCCTTTCTTGTTAGAGTGAGCAAGACAAGGCGACAGAACTTTTTCTAAATTGGGGGGTGGATGCTGGCCTTTCACCCTGTGGCACAAGAAAATCAACAAATAGTTGACAAGTTTTGAAATGGTAATGCTAGCCTAGTTAGTAGGTTATCATTTAAATATTTTTACATTAATAATTATTACTTTTAACTTGTCTAAAGGACAAATAAGTTCTCAGCATTACAAGTTGGTGTGAAGAGGTTATGGAAGGCTCGAGTTTAGAATGTATCATAAATCCAATCCGAACTGAATTAACCTTTTATTTTAACCCTTGTGGAACATTTTATGTCTTTAAGCTTTTTTGAAGTGTGTTAATTTAACTGACATTCTTTATTGGAATCAAGGGCGTTAAATATGACTAAAATTTCAAAACATTTTGTCTTTAAAAAGTTACAAAAGCTAGTAATGCATTAAGGTGATTATAAGATTAAAGTAAAAACAAAAAAAGAATTTTTAACACTGTACCAAGGGCAATCTCACCCAGGCAACTTGCATGGGGACATTTTTGCTGAATATTTAAGTTTCAGACCCAACAATTTTTATCGTTTTTGACATCCTCTATCATAATCATAAATCACGTATCACTGTACGTGACATTAAAAAACTAAATATCTTAACATTTTTACCATATAATTTTGTGATTGCATTGTGATATTACACTCAATCACAGTTGATTGACAAACTTATCAGCAACAACAAATGTTGACATCCTGTGGATGTTCCTGTTCCTACTTTTTTTGCCGCATGAAACCAAAGAATGTCAAAGGAAATCAAAGAGCTGTACACTTTTTCCCAAGAAAAAGAAGAATGCCATACAGAGCAAACTCCTATCTTCCAGCTGCCGTTCTTTAATCAGGGCGTGTTCGATTGACAGTATTCCGGGATAAGAATCAATGGAAGGAAACCCTAAAAATAACATTCATTGCACTGCAATATCTAGAAATATGCTTGAAAGATAATTTTCTCATGTCTGTAGCATTTGAGTGGACAAAAAATCACGTTACAAGAGATTTGATACGATCAATCAAAAGCACCCTTCGTGTCCAGGATGATACAACGATTTATATCCTTAATCAGTGTTTCCTAGAGCTGTACTTTGTCGTATCAAGCAGCCGACACAGATGTGTACGATTGTACAAAATCGGTCAGAATTAAATGTATCGTACAAGTCATTATAAAAGTAAATGGAGAGGTAATTTCAGGAGCTTAATTAAATATCAATATATTTTGGGATTGATCAACCCAATCCCATTCAAGCCCCACCCACCCCCGCAGCCCTCCCGCGTCACTCCCACCCTCCACCCCTTCCGTCGCCTCCGCCAACGCCGACGTCCTGCCGCCGCCACCCCCCGCGCGCCCCGGCTGACCCTCTTCGGCCGCTCGCCGCCCCACCACCACCACTCCCATATAAAACACGCGACAAAAAGTGGTACTGTTTTAAAAAAAAGGGTAAAAATAAATTTATTCGAAAAAATTATATAAAAAGAAAATGGGAGGGTATTTTAGGGAGTTAATATAAAAAAAAAATTTTTTGTGGTTTTTCCCCCCCCCCCCCCCCCCCCCCCCCCTCATACTACAGTAGGAGTTTGTTTTTTTGGGCTCTCAGGTCTTTGCATCCTTGAAGACCCCGGGGCAGTCAGTCAGGTCGGGAGAAAAGGCCCTTTCAAGTACTTTCATCGCACCTTTTCTCCCCACCTGACTGACTGCAACTGGGTCTTCGAGGATGAGGTCATTGATAGGGAAAGACATTCTTTTTCATAATTCATACATGAACCTCTCTAATACCCTTTTTCTCCCTCCAGAGATATACATGTACATGTACAGCTGTAAGTTTAAAACAAGATTGCAGTTTGTGGTATGATTGCTGAGGGACTACTATTGCTATAAAAGTTGCAGGATTTTGGTGGTCATGGAAACAATAGAGACCTTCAGATCAAGATTTTTTGGCATTTCCCGAGAACCACAAACACCAAGAGCCACGTCACCAGTGCCTTGCTGTCGGGTTTGCAGTTTGATGTTCACGTTTGTATGGCTAGACCATGCTCTATAGGGTAAGTGACTTACAGCAAGGTGTTTTCTCCTTTATGCATAATGATCCCATGTTTGAGAGGATATACTACTTTTCAGAATCCTTTCGCTTAGAAATAACATTGAATTCTTTTCATACAAGAGTAATTTTGAGGTTGATTTCTCAGCTTGAATAGGAGTGAATGAATGGATAAAAACAAACATGGCAGCTTCAAGCTACCACCTGTGAATCTTAAGTCCCAAATAATGGACAGACTGGTAATGTGGAAATGCTAACCGAAAACCATGGTTTGCCATTTGCAGTAAGATAACTAAACCTTGATCTTAAGGTCTTTAATAGCCCTCCCTGCCACTTCAAGGAATTACAAGTCACACTGGATATCCATAACACCCAACCTCCACTCAAGAAACACGTGCATTATTACATTGTTACATGCACTATTATTTAACATGTAATATTCTTTTATTAAGTATTTATATATATTTATAAAAGATTGCATTAATACTAAACCTGTCTTTAAGTTGTTCCACAAGGTAGGCAAACTTTCTATACTGCAGTGCACCAAACTCCTACAAACACAAATAGGCAATCAAAATCGACATTCACGTGTAAATTTAGCAAATAATTAAGCTGTGCTGGGTATCAAGTTTAAACTTCAAATTATGTTCCCTACATAAAAATATTTTTACAACTAGTTTTTCTTATTTTTCTTTCTTCTCCAAACCCGCCTTAATTACATAAAGCTAACTGTGGGTTACATGGAATAAATAATTTCCTTTTTCTTTTTCAGTCTACTTTTATTCCTTGCTATCAGTTTGATGTGCAATAAAATTGTTGTTGTATAATAATTTATGGAAAATGATGCACAGAAACAAAAATAGATACATGTATACAAAAGTGGAGTTACAAAAAAAATCAGTAGAAGAAGACTGCGATATAATGACAGAATACTGCTGTCTCACCCGAATTTTAAAACTTTAACTACCCTGGGCGACAGTGCTTTCATTGCTTTGGCGTCTAAACTCTGGAATGATTTACCTCTGGAAATTAGAATGGCCAAATCTGTTGATACTTTTAAAAAAAATTTTAAAGATACATCTTTTTAGTATCGCTTTTCATTCTTAGTTAGGTTTACTTAATACCTATACACAACTATGTCATTTTTATTAATTTTATTTTTAGCAAAACTTTTAAAGAAGTACCTTTTAGTAAGGCTTTTTATTCTATATACAGGTGATGTATTTCTTATTAATTTTATCATTTTAGTTATTAAAATTTATATTAATTTTTGTTCTATGTATTGTTTTAATGCACAGTTGATCATCTCATCATGAAAACTGCGCAATATAAATTATTAACTATTATTATTATTATTTATTATTATTATTATTATTAATTATTGCTAGGATCATTCGTGAATAATAAAATTTACCTTAGTTTCAAACCTTGCATGTTCATACATATCTGAGACCTCGTCAATAGTGTCATCTCCACCGCGTATCACATTGCATGGTGGCTTCTGGAGAGACTTGAGGTGTTCCCTGACAGATTGTTTCTTCTTTCGACTGTACTTGAAGTCAATTGTGCATAATAGATCATCTGTCCATAGAAAGGATGTAAAAAATAAAGATAGTAAACAATGGAACATTGGAGATGTTTAAGAATGATGTATGAAATAAACAAGGTACCATTTTCCTTGACAGGTACCAGGTCATGAAAAAGCAAGTTCAAGACTTTAACACGTGAGGATGTATTTAAAAAAAATGTTAACCCTTTCACTCAAAAAATTCAAGTTTCTTTTAGCAAAGCCCTGAGAAAAAAAAATTAATAGAAATATGCAAAAGGTCTGCCAAAGAGGTTTAACTTGAATGAACACCATAATCACCATAGGATTTTGTCTACAGAGTAACACATTAGAGCATTAGCTACATTGTATAGGAAACATGGGTTTCAACTAAATAAAGGTTACATTTTTGAGTAATAAAGCCGAATTACTCACACTGAAGTAGTTTTTTGTCATCTCCCGTTTAATTCTTGTAGAAAAGTCTAGAAAAAGGCTTTGTTTTCATTCACAACTCAATTGAAAAGTCTTGGTAACCAAGCATTCCCTCTAAATCCAGAGGTGCGCGCACAAAGTGCATGGTGTATTCTCCTATAACACTGTGCATGTAGCACCACTGCCTCAGGATTTAAAGAGAATGCTTGGTTACCAAGACTTAACAAATACTTATCAAGTCCTGAATCAAAACAAAGCATAATTATTTTCAGGTTTTTCTATCAGAAATGTATGGAGAGAATTTACCAGACATTACATCAGTGTGAGTAATTCAATGTTATTATGCAAAAATTTAACGCATATGAAGTTGAGATTGATAGAACAATAATAGCTAGAGCAATAATTAATAGTAGTAAAAGTAAGAGTAATAATAATCTCATCAAAACATGAATGCTCTCAGTAGCGTTGAGTCTCACTTGCTTAAAGATAAGTTTTATTGTGGTGCTGTTATGCTACTTTTCGTTTGGAATACAAAACGAGTGCTACCGGTATACACTGTATATCATTAAATTTAATGTAAATGTTGTAGTTAATTTTTTTACCTCAGGTAATTTTTAATTTCCTCTGTTTCGACTTTATTAGCATACATTACCATGCCCAAATACAAAAGAAAAACAAAAATTACCTGAGACAAAAAATTAACATAAATACTCAAAACGTAAAAATTGCAAGGACAGACAGATATTACTCCAATGAGGAGAACTCTTTCAGGGATTTAACACTCAAAACATTGAACATTGATTTTTACCAGTATAAAATTAATGTATATACCTTAACAAGCGGACAAGATACGGTTTGGTACAGTTTTTGTTCAGTACAGGAAAAATGTGTAAGTTTAGCACAACCTTATACAACAGAGAGTAAATTCAGTTTGCGCGTATTCCTGTTGAATTTGTTGTCCGTTTTAAAGATATCAAAATTGCGTGAAAGTAATAATAAATTACACTTTCCATGGCTGCTTGGTATCTGCTTTTAATATCTTTGTACCGTTGATGTTTACGCGATCTCAGAGTACAATGTTTAGACCTGTAGACAGAGCGCATTTTATCACAGTATCACTGGGATAAAGCCATTTCATTTTCCAGGAAAATTTCAGTTTCTCGACAAAACAATCACTGAATCAGTCAGACTTGGAGTACAATGTAGTTTACTTAAATTTAGTGCTCATTACAGCAAGCAGGGTTATGTTTTGTGAAATTCATCTACAGTCTGTGGCCCACATCACCATGATCCACAATTTATTTATCTATTTTATTTTCAAGTTTTTTTTTTTACCAATCCTCGATCCCTGATTGTGGATCCCAGATCCTCGATCCTAATTTTCAAAATAAACCTTGAAGTTTTGCTCATGAAGATTATTCTTTTTTTCGACCACTGAAGTAATCAATTGCTCCAAACTAATCAACGATTTCAACTAAAACCACTCGACATCTTTTAGTGTGGGTCTACCACGAATAGTGTGTGGATTTGTAAGCGACATGACCATATAATGCATTAATTTTATCTTTCCAAGTTTTTCTTTTCAAAACATAGCATTCTGAAAATTGTACATTGTTTTTGAAACATGCAGATTCTGCGCTACCCTGACCCCCTACATGTGTTTACAAAACTATCCCTTCTGTCACGTTCAGCTCTGTGTTTAATTTTTCGCATGTGAAGGTCATAACCAAATTATTAAACAAAAAAAGTCCCTAGAGAGGGCATGTGTTTACAGTTTTTACTTTTTTATGCCTGTTTTGCATTTGCGATTTTATCACCTTGCAATGTCATATAAGCATGAAACGTAAGCTGTTTTGTCGAAAAAATATAAAGATTTTTTGCATGGAAGAAAAAATTTGCCAAAGAACTACGTGATAAACATTGCACGTTATTTCAGTCATTTCCAAAATTAAACCGCATGCTTATTACAAGACTTATTTGCATACAACGAGAGTCGTCACGATTCTTATCCCCAGTTTCCACCTTCTCTGCTAGGAATGCCTGGGACCATGGCTGACCATTTGGGGAAGACCAATGAAAAAAAAAACGCCTGCATTTTTAGAGTCTCGCTATGCTAAAGCAAGCTCGACTAACAAGGGCTTGGACTGAAAGGTTAATTTGAAGACAATTGTATGTCAAGGTTTAACACCTTCTAGTAGCTTCTCCATAATTTATTGTTTCTCATCTTGATTGACAGAAGAACAACAACAAAAATATTTTATTGCACGAAGTTGTAAAATCCATAAGAATAACCTACACTAGGCTTCAATAATGGCATAAGGTTTTAGATACATATAGCGTATTTATTTGATTAAATGCTGCAGCGTTTATTAAATTTTCAGTGTTTCTCATGCGGCATTTATGTTAGGGGGGCGTTTATTCAAGGGTGGGTAAATCACTGACAACAGTTACACTGTAAATCGTTTTTTAAATATTATGTACTTTAAAGATTCCAACATCTCTTATTTTGCTGAGATAGAATCGTAGTTGTCTGGATGGTGTAGATTACCAAGTTGCACTCAGTTTATTCTCATTATCCTTGACTAAACACCACATTCTTTTAATTAAGTGTGTTTCAGCTGCGGTGTTTAATCAAGAGTGGCTTTTATTTGACGGCTGCATTTAATTGAATAAATACGGTATTTAAGTATTTTAATTTCCCACTGACCTAGTTCAGTCATTTTATCCATAGCCTTCATTCTGTATTTGTAGCTCCTTGTATATTGATCTTCAGAAAAAAAGCACAATAGTATTTCTGATGAGTAATCACCTTTATGATACATGTACTGTAAGTTGAAAAATAAAATGTTGACAAAATTAATACTGGTAAGCTTTTTGCCACAACCTGAAAACTTGGTAAACTGGAGGTACGTACAGTCAACTATCTCATAGGGACCACCTCTCGTAAGCGATTACTTTGAAAATCACCATTTGGTTTCTCAGCTCTCTCGTGAGCGACCACTACTTAAAAATATCTTAACAACTGTGACCACTTTTTAAACCAGAAATTTGACATATAATTCTTTTGTTTTCTGTTTCCCATAAGCAACCACCCAGATTGCTCTTGTATGATTGTAAGAAAACCATGGCTTGAATGTTACGAAAGTTCATTTTTTGTTAGCACTGACCAAGTGGCTGACAGATATAGCAGTTAACTTACAGAAAAGATGGCTGTATTTATGACCTGTGGGTAAACAGGTGGTTTGTTACATGTACATAAATGCAAAAATGTTACATGTATGTACAAAGTTTCAACAGTTCCAAACAGTATTATTCGATGCACAAGATTATTGACAGTTGCCTATTTACCTACATTTTAGCTTGTAAGGTAACAACGTTATGTAGTTACGTGTATGTTAATCTTTTCAGTTTGAACTTACATTGTGTATTTTCTTGATTTTTCCTGTAGATGACCACCCCCCAACAGTGACTACTTTGCCGTGCACCAAGGGAGGTCACTTATGAGACAGTTGACTGTATAATAAAATTTATATTATTATAATTAAGTTACTGTGCAGCACTTTGAGTTGAAGAATAACCTCAGCACTTTGAGTTGAGGAATACCTTTAACAAGAAACTTCTGCTGGTAGTAAGATTGTTTGCTGGTGACTCAAACCCTCTGTAACTTAAAGTTCATGCTGAGGCAAACCCAAATTGATCATCTCCCCTTGATTTACTCTATACTATCTGTTAATATATTTGGATCAGTATAAAATTCTGGGGAACTATCCACCCACCCCTCCCCTTAATTGACCAATGCTAAAATGTGGGATTAAGGGAAGCGTAGGTGGAGGGTTTGCCAGTCAAGAATAATAATTATCATTTGATTTATAATGATCATAATTATATTCTTTATGACTTAACTCTGGTTAACTTGTCAGAACGTTCTCATACAATGTAACTTAAACTGTAAAAAAATAATAATAATAAAAAATGATAGAGAGAATATTATTTTGTCATGGGTACCTGATGGAGATTCATAGTTGGCAGAACCATCCACTGGTTTGTTGAACTGTTCTGATAACATTCTTGGCTCCATCCTTAATTGAGAAATCCTTTGTAACTGAGCTGAAATTTCTCTTCCTAAACTCTAATTGATTGGAAACACAATATGCACAAATTACATTAATGTGTAATAAGCTGTAAATGTGAAGAAATGTAGATGGGTTAATCAGTCATGGAAATATACTGTTTGATAACTGTTCAGCTAGTTTATTACAAAATCTAGATGCAAATGAATGCACATGTTACTCAGCAACACTGCTGTACAGTGTATGCAAGCAACTCCAGGCTATCCAAGCCACAAGCTACATATATATACCCAAGGCATCCAGCAAGAAACTAATCCCATGTCTGTTACCAGAGACTTACCTAGAAGTATATGGGGAGTTGAGTTCAGAGGAGGGGATAGGAGATAGGGTTAGGGTTAAAATGAATGTCAAATTTCACAAGAATTGTGAAAGCACAGGTAAAATTCTGAAAATTTCATGTTGTGAAATTTGACATTCATTTTCTCGGGCTTCAATAAGAAAATTTCTTTGGTGTTATTACAGATGACTAGTTACATCTTTAGCCCTTGAAAAAGGTAAAAAAGAATTCAAATGCTTTAAATTATTCTGGTACAAGGTTTTTGTCCACGGAAAATCAAAATTACTCAATTTCCTAGTGGATTCAGTCTCAAAGTTCTCCAGTTTGTAACCAAGAGTAACTTAGTCCCATTTAGACAGTTGACAGACAGAGTTATCAATGGACCTGTTAAGCTTGTTGTATGTTTTGTTTTCCCATTTCAGACAACGTAATGGTACCCCAGAGAACTGTTTCTTTCAAAATTTTAATGTTGTCTTATGCTTGTGCACCCAAATGCATTTGTATGCATAATTAATGAAAAGACAAGAGGAAAAATTTCTTGGAGAACATCGGGTGGTCTGAATTGGGAAAACAAAATATACAAGCTCAAAAAGGTCTATTATTAGTGGCAATAGAAACAGGTTTCCTCGTATCCTTACGAAGAAAGTGATGGGAGAGGGGAGAGGGCACTTATTTGAGGAGAGCCCTTTTTTTTGTTATTTTGGCCAGGGGTTGGGTGCTTATTCCAGGAAGGGTGTGCACTTATTAGAGCATGCGTACCTATTCCAGCTAATACGGTACAATGTATGTTCATCAGAAAATTAATCAAGGTTTGAAGCAGCCACCTTGAGATCCAAAGTAAACTTTCTGCCAGCTAAGCTACGCTAGACTGTATGCTCTACATTACAGGTAACTTACTCTAGGTGCATCGCTTCCAACAGGGGAGTGTGGTCCTCTTTTTGACAGCAATAACATCCTCAGTATTTGCCGTTTCACAAGAATGACAATAAGAAGTCCAATCTGAAAAGGTTGTCACTGATCAGCATAATAAAATACACTTGACCTGTTGTGACTGCTGTCAACCTCCACCAACAAACACCTCCAGTAAATGGACATTTGGTTGAGTTTAGTTTAATGAATTCGCCACAACCATTTAACAACATTTAATACTCAACAAAAGCAAATAAAGCAAAGGTAACTACATGTACACTGCAGTTGTTGTGTCATGAGGAAAGAACATTGTCTCAACTGCAACCTTAAACTACCTCAATAACTCAGCAGTCCTGGAGTGCTCTCCCTTTAATGGATACCATTAATACCTTTAATACATCTGTGTCCACAGGCTACTCGTGTACCAGTTTTGAATCTTACCTACGGACACCTTGTATGACTTCCGCACAGCCCCAATTTATTATCTATTATGCATTCAGCAATCTCATACTAATTCACACAGACAGTTTTATTAATTTATAAACGGCAGCACTAAAAAACGGAATCCGGAATCGGGAAACGGAATCACGGAAATGGAAACGGAAACGGAAACAGAAACGGAATATGGAATCTGTGAAAGAAGGTTCCAAGCGATCAATTTGAAAAACATATATATTAGCAATGACAATAAAATAAATAAACAGATAAAAAAAAAGACACAAATGAATAAATTAGCTGAGTAGAGGAGAGGAGACCTGCTGTATCACTAGAGGAGTCGATTCCAGTGAAAAGACGCTTGATACCACTATCGGCAATGAATGCAAATTCTCATGGGACAGCAAAGCAAGGAGAAAAACGTTACTGACAAAAACTAGTGCCGTAAGAAAAAGGTAAGTTATATGGAGACAGACTTCGTTTGAATCGTCAGAGGCGTCGTTTATATAACTGAAGGTCATCGCCGTCAAGTTTTTCTTAGTGTCTTTTCTGGGTTGTCTTTAACAGAGTTCAGTTTTATTTATCAAGACAACTTACTCAAGAGAACCATGGCATTGTGGAGTCCAAACCGAAGAGAGAATTGTGCATGCATTTTCTTGATGCCGCAACCGATTACATCAAAATAATGCGCCATGTTTAATAAGCCTCTTCAACAAAAATACGGACGTCCACGTAAATTCAATTACCGGTACACCAGTATTCCATCAGTATTCAGCTTGGTGAAAAAGTTGAACTTAGCTTGAATTAGCTACAAAAGTAATATTTAACTGTATTATTCAACAAATGAACTCGTGAATAAAAATTACTCGTAAAATTACTTTCATCGGCCTTGCAGCGCAGTAACCCACACTACAGCAAACCTTATCAAGACACAATAACAAGAATATATTTAAGGGAACTGCCAAGAAAACTAAGACAACTCTCTTTGGATTGTACTAAGTTGTGTAATGTGAAATTCTTAACTTTCTATCATTGATATTTGAGTCCGTATTCCGTTTCCGTTTCCGTTTCCGTTTCTGTTTCCGTTTCCAGATTCCGGATTCCGGATTCCATGTGTGCTGCCCATAAATGAATGGAGTGGAAACATGTACAGGCATATATGTTGTGGTTCAATTTTATCCTTGGTTCAAATTTTCTTTTCTTTTGTTTCAAACTCATTATCATGTTATTATCATACATTACCATACCCAAAACAAAAGAAAAGAAAATTTGAACCAAGGATAAAATTGAACCACAACGTATACACAATAAATGTATGAAGCTGCGCGGAAATTTTACCGAAAATCATACCCTTGAACTTACCGAAATGGTGAAAATGATAGTCATTACCAGCCCAACTCCACCCAACTTCTTCAGGAGTTTTGCATCGGTACTGCTGACAGCAGAGTCCGCCATCTTGAATCAAGGGCAGTTCTTCTTGCTTCTTTAATCTTGTCTCAGAAATTTTGTCCTCAGAGCACAGTTTACAAAACACTGTATATCATACAGTACAGAAAAATAAGCAATCACATCCTGGGTTTTACCAAACAGGAGATAAACTGAGTTCGAATTGGCTGATCCGCAGTAATTTCGCTTGATCCAAAAGTCTTGTTTGCGGATTGGTACGTCATGTAAGAAGGAAGAATAGCACCTACTTAGTAGCCGCGCTATGTACTTTTTTAAAATGGCGGACAGTAGTGAAGAAAGAACGTTTTAGAGTAACAACGGAATTTGCGGTGAATCAATGGCGGAAATAAAGCTTACAGACGCACAGAAAGCTCGCATCGAGAGAAATCGCCAGAGGGCATTGATGCTCCGCAATGCAAGACTTTCCAGTAGGCCATATCCCGAGATAAGATCTCATGACCAAGAGTCTACTCGCACATCTCAAGTGAGCACTTCAAACTCAACCACAGCTCATGCGATTGATACCGGTGGAGGGTTTCTATTAGATCCTGATGATGAAGAAACATTGGATATAGCGCAAAAGAATTTAGTTGAGGACCCAGGTAAGTGCATATCACTTCTTTGTTCAGTTGTTAGACAAAATGCAGACTGCATACATGATACATGTACTTGCAGACTGGCTAGTGAACAAGGTAAACAATTATATGAAAGTAAATCATCGAACTTATAGACGCAACTTTTGCAGTTGCGAAAAGAAAGCCTGAAAAAAAATTCAGACATACATACGGGATTCGAATCCTCAACCTCTGCGATACCGTTGCAGCTCTCTTACCAACTGAGTTAACAAGCCAACTGGGAGTAGGTCGTTAAACTGGTTCGTTATAAACCGGTAAGAGCGCCACACCAGTATTGCAGAGGTCAAGGGTTTGAAAGCTGTACAAGCCTGAATATTTTTTTCAGGCTTTCTTTTCGCAAGTGCAAAAGTTGCGTCTATATAACTTCGATGATCTATGTTCACATAATTCTTCACCCCACATTTCATACATTATTTTGATATATTCATAACTTCAAGGTAAACAATGTTGTGAAATTATCTCAAAACTATGTCAAGACTTAAAGAAGACTTAAACTTTAGGGATAGGGATAGTTTTGTGGTCATTCCACAATATTGCCCTGTGAAAGTAACTTAAAGTGTAGGTTTAGTATTTGTATAGGCAATAGCATGATTTGTAGTGATATTTGGCATAAATACCACAAGTGATATTTCGAAATTCTTATATGTAATTTCACGAGCCGTTAGGCGAGTGAAATTTGAGACAGTTTTGAAATATCACGAGTGATATTAATGCCAAATATCACATACAAATCATGCTATTATTTGTTTATACTACTACCCGCAAAAGGTTTGTAATTTTCACATGTAGATATTTCAAATTAAGCTGAAATACCACTGCTCTAAGCTAATCAAATTGCAGTAATTTTTCATGTAGTAGTATAAGGTACGTTATTAATTTTGTGAAACTTGTTTTCTGTAAATGTCTTTATTTTCCTTTAAAACAGCCCCTGTACTTGGTGGTCATCAAATACATTGCTCTGAATGCCAGAAAGAGTTCTTGACTTCATATCTCTACAAACATTTTGAGGTTTCTGTTTGTGACAATTGCAGGTAAAAAGTCCTTTAATATTATATACAGTAACTGTAAAAATAACGTACACATGTATCTTTAATAGGTTAAGCTGCACAAATTCCTACCTCCAATACTTGGAAGAGGGAGTTTGTGTAGCTTATCACTTTTATAGGTGGCTGCAAATAATGGTTTAGAACCCAGGAATGTTACAGTTGCACCCTGCCCTTTTTAAAGAATGAGTAGTATCTGTCACTGAGGGCAACCATTTCTTGGCTAAATGAGTCACCATTTCGACAACATATTTACAACTTCGTTGTGCCAACACTAGACCACATTTTGTCTTGCAGAGATCGAGAAGGAAAACACACACTTATAACCAAAACAGAAGCTAAGGAGGTACATATAGGGAATATTTTTATCACTTATTGGATGAAAATTATGCAAATGTAGCTGTGACATTAACTTCAACTAGTGTTACTTGTATTTTTTGCAGCAATTCGTGTTGAAAGACTGTGATTTTGACGGAAGACAACCAGCATTAAAGTTTATTTTAAAAAAGAATCCACATTATTCCCGAGGGGAGATGAAGTTGTACCTTAAATCACAGGTATTAAAAGCTTTCAAATTTCAAATTTCTCATCTTTTTGCCTGTGTGAAAGGCTGATGGAAAAAGGAAACAAATTTTACTGCTTATCTAGGCCTTGTTGGAAACAGTACAATCATGTATATAAAAACCTCAGGAAGCTGTTGCATCTCTGATTTGTGGGAAGGAGCTGAGAGGTGACATGAAACACACGGCAAGAGGAACCAAAAGCTGCAGAATCACATAATTTATTATTTAACAAGGGTAAACCAATATCATTAGCTCTGCAGTTATTAAAAGGTAACCCGAGCAACAGATCATTTGCATAAAATTAATGGCAACAATATTTTGAATGATAATACTGTTACATCTTACCCTTGCATCCATGTAAAAATTCCTTTGTTGCCATTTTTAGCAAAAAGTTATGAACAGCTAATTATGCTGTTGATTTACCCTAATCAAGTGACTAGTCTCCAAGGGCAAATGGGTAAACAAGCATTCATGGAGGCATTACTCTGGCAATGATGATTATTAGACGCCCAGTTTTCAGCTTGTGGTAGATGTTTTATTAAGATTAAATCAATTTGGTTCAAGTTAATGTGATACTCGCTTTACTAATGGTTTGAGCTACCAGGAGTAAACTGTGTTATTTTGCAGGTTATTCAACGCTCCCATGAAGTGTGGGGAGGAGAAGCTGGATTAGAAGAGGCTAAAGAAGACAAAGCTGAGAAGAGAGAGGTGCAAAAACAACGGCGATTTGACAAGAAAGTTAAAGGTTTCTTCTACCAAAGCTTTTTACCTTTTTACTATCAAGATTATGAATGTTGCAATCTCTGTCTAAGTAGTGAGCTTATGCATGTGACGAGCACAACGTTTTTGTGTGAAAATGTGAAGTTTGGTAGAAATTTTTTTTAACACAATAATTGTCACAATGTCACACAATTACCGCTCTATCGCAGCAAAAAGCGAGACATTGGAACTCTAAACATCTTTCTGTGAACATCTTACAGTGAATGTGATTATGAAATAACTGCTGCCCTTCAATAAATGCTGTCTTGAGTAATTAATTGCCACATTGAAAAGACTAAAATTGTAATAAACACTGAGGCATTTAATGGTACAAATGTGGTTTAATAATACATTATGTCCTTTTGTTATGGTAATTTCCAGTGCAAAAAAGTCACTGAAAACAGCTTATGTTTTTTATCTTACGAACCAGAACTTCGTCGAGCAGTCAGAACAAGTACATGGAAAAAAGATACCAGTCGACATGAGCATGAGTTCCCTGAAGCAGGACAAGAAGGTGGGGAGGTTTATGATGAGGAAACAGATACATGGACAAAAACATGCAAAACATGTGGCTATCAACTCACATATGAAAAAATGTAATAAGGAATCAGTCTTATTTCAAATAATGTACAAAACCAAGGGGGTACTCCGGATTTCAAGTGATGGGGATGATCGAATGGGGGTAAAAATCTAAAAACCCAAAAAACTCCCTGGACCAAAAATTAACCCCCCAAAAATCTCATACTGAATTTCCAAGCCTTAAAACTTTTCAGAAAGGCTCATTAATGATGTAACATGAAAAATAAAGTTTTTAGAAACAAGTTTGGTTGTACTTTATTCGCAGAACTACGCGGCCGGGATACGTAGGCACTAGCTTGAATCTTCAGATTGTTTTGAATGCTCAAATAAATCCCTACTTCAATCAAGCCGCCCAAAAAAATACTTGCCAAATTTTCCTAGCCAAAAAACTCACGGAATCAGAAATTTCAAACCCCCAAAAAATCCTTCAATCATCCCCATCACTTGAAATCCGAAGAACCCCCCTGGGGTACAAAATGTAAAAATATTATTGTATATAAAAATAACACATTTAAATCAACTTACACCTTGTAATATTAGTAATATTATAAGGTGTAAGTGTTCAAAAGTACTATCAGTTTTATAATATGTGGTTTCACAATTCACTCTAATTTCATAAAATAAAATTGCTTTCTTGTGTAGTCTGAACACAAATAATCTACTTCCTACTTCATTTACATGAAGTTTCATTGAGTTTAGTAGTCTCTTTAACAAACAACCAGGGATAAGATTTTTTAGAAAAAATTCTTGGTACCACAAAATTTACCAAGAATTTTTTCTAAATGTGGACCTTTTATAGCTAAACCTTCACAATCTTTTATAAGCTAATCTGGTGTGAAAGAAACCCTGTTCAATACCCTAACTAGTGAAATTGTTTACCCTGTTTAAGACTCAAGACCGTGAAAAGCTTGCCATGTTCAGTGGCACATATTGTTTGGAGCAAAAAAGGGAGTGTTCAACCTACAGGATGTTGATATGTTACAAGTCAAAATTAAATTCACGTTAAGGCGGAATCCATCAGGAACTTTAATTTTCAGTGGACAAAAACCTTGTACCAGAATAATTTAAAGCATATTGCATTCTTTTTTACATCTTTCAAGGGCTATAGATGTAATTAGTTATCCGTAATAACACCAAAGAAAATTTCCTATGGGAGCCTGAGAAAATAAATGTCAAATTTCATAAAATGACATCTTACACAAATTTTCACAATTCTTGTGAAATTTGACATTTATTTTCTCGGGCTCCCATAATAAATTGTCTTTGGTGTTATTACAAATAGCTGATTACATATATAACCCTTGAAAAATGTAAAAAAGAATGCAATATGCTATAAATTATTCTGGTACAAGGTTTTGGCCACTGAATTTAAAATTACTCAATTTCCTGGTGCATTCTGTTGAAAAAAGGTTTAATCCAGGTTGATTCTCAGTTTCATCCACCTCCTTAGAAGGAATTTCAGAATCAATCTAGGTTAAAAAATTTTAACCTCAATTTAATTCTGTGACAGATTATTACATGACATGCATTAGTACTCTGGTACTAATACTAGTTTGGTAACTTATTGAGTTATATAATTTCACCTCAATGTAACCTGATCAGTACTAGTGTTTTCATTTTTTGCAGCCAGGACTTTCGTAGAAAGTATAATGTACTAATAATTTATTTATAGCTAGCTAGATAAAAAAATGGTCTAAAATATTTTAAACAGGCTTATGACATCTTCTCCAAATGTTCCTTCACTAAACTAACAATAGTTCCAACTTCAGCCATTGCACCAATGCCTAAAATGCAAATAATAGCAAGTTGGAGCTTACTTGAACTGGATTTCTTGTAAGAAATATTATTATTGTAAATATCATATTATTATTATTAATTATTAATTATTATTATTATTATTACTATTTATTACAGTTGAATTTTCATTAAGGAGCCACCCTCGGGGTACCAGCAAGTGGCCACTTCATCATAAATTCCCATAATCTTTAGCAGAAACATCACTTTTTATTTTTGGAACCGATCGCGTGATAGTAGAAGCATTACTGGACCGCATTCAGTTGTCACATTCTAACTCACACTGTATTTTCCTTCATCATAATTATTATTTTCAAAATGAAGCCAAACTAAGCACTTGATGGCCACTTCCTTTTGACAACAATGGTGGAACTCTTGTTGGGAAGGCCAAAATGTGGCCATGGCTGCTTAATAGAGGTTTATTTTCACATTCTTTTTTTCGGTTATTTTGGGACTTTGATTACTGGTCACTTACTAGAGGGTGGCCACTTAATGGAGGTTTGACTGTATTATTAAAGTTGATTGATACACAGTGTAAAATTGGAAGCAAAGATGGTGCCCCAAGTTTCTCAATGGACTAATCATCTCAATGCACCTTCAAGCTCCAACCCATGGATGGTGATAGGCATCAAATTCAGCTGGTTCAAACCTTGTGAATCAGATTCGGTCATTAGGCTGATTTAGCAACAGAATGGGAATGTCAGTTCATGACGGTGTGCACAAATCAAAAAACTGGCTTGACCTATGGCAGAGTGGCAAATTGGGCACTGGAAGTCTCATTAATTTTTGTCCTTTCTGCTTGCTTTCCTGTCAACTGACGCTGCTGTTGTTTTGCTAATTCAGCCTCTTGATTTCAGATCAAAACTTACTAGTAAAAAATGAAACAGTGGTCTGAAACTTCTGTAACCAGGCCCCAGTTGTTCAAACATTGAGTAGAGCTATCCATTTGATAAATCACTATCTAGCCAATAAGTATTGGCCGGGGGAAACCAATAATTGCATTATCTACATACTGGACAGAGAGTTACCGTTTTATGGGCAAATCTTTTGTCTGGATTATACTTTAATGTTATTGGTCAGTTAAAGAGTGACCAACATCAATTTTGTGCTAACAATATCATACATTATCAAGAGAAAAAGTTAGGACAATTAACAAAATGATCAATAAAGGGGAAATGCTCTGATCTTTTGTCAAATCCTCTCAACTAATTATTTAATGTGTGGTGAATATAATGTGTGAAGATCCCAGGGCGGGAGGTACTTCTTGACCAATATTTGGGTATAGGGGAGCCACTGAGAGTTTGAAACCCTGACCCTGTTTAGCTAGGTCAACACCCTCAATTTTATTACCCTGTTTAGGACAAATGCCAAAATGCATGCTGTCTTGTTTTAAAGCCATTTGTTGGCAATTGCAAAAGAGCAAATTCACATTATAGTCATTGCTTTTATATACTTGGAGTACAAACACAATTAATCCGGCAAATCGAATTAATTGTGCAGGCAATACCTATTTGACAGACTCACATGAAATTATATACACTGTTTTACAACAGAGAGGTAAAAAACTACACCGTCTCCAGTGGCACATCCCTGTTGTAGTTAATTTTTATCTCAGGTAATTTTTTTTCTTCTATTTCCACAACATTAGCATACATTACCATACCCCAAAACAAAAGAAAAACAAAACTCACCTGAGATAAAAAAAATTAACTACGACATTCCCCTACAAGCCATACAAAGGAGTAACCCCCCACCACCCCCAGCCCCGGGGGATCAGTGTAGAGAATTTGTATTTTGATATTGGGGCTTAAGGGTTTAAAAAAAGTTAGGGTTGTTACCTGTGTCACCACAAGCTAGAGTTTTTTTGATGGGTGGAACATGAGTATATCCAATGTTTACCAGCTGTTCAACATGACTGGAAGTAATAGGGTGCTCCCACATGAAAGTGTTCATCGCTGGACAGAATAGCAGTGGCTTCTTCATGTCCCACGCGCGAACTGTGCAAGTCTGTTGAAGAGTTACATAAAAAACATATGAAACTAAACCAGGCTTCCTAGCAAACTGGCTATGACCCTAAATTATAAGGGCGTTAAATCTCAGTCAATATTAATGTCCTTGTCCATGACATTTATTGCACCATGCAGCCTTGTCACTTTTGTCATCTGTTAGTTTGTTCAGACTAGAGTTTGCTGAGTTAGAAAAATTTTTCTTAATTATTATCATTTTTATGCTGCCTCACATGTACATGTAAAGGACATATTCTTTTGGTAACTTGATTAATGAAAAAAAACAAGATTTAGCTGTCTCTGATAAAATTGGACCAAGAGTAATGTGATTATCACTACTCTCTTTGGAGAAGAAAAACAAATTATTAAATCATAAGGTTTTGATTTGAGACAGTGTAATAAAGAAATTAGTTCAAGCCACGACAAAAAGTATAACCCTGCCATAAGAACTGATAAGTTCAACTTACATATTTTAAAAATTGGTTTTATTAATAAGTACGATGTATATAGCAAACATTGAAATGCTTACCAAAAGGTTGTCGCACAATCCATTGGCAATCTTGGCCATTGTATTAGCATCTAGTGGAGCAATAACCATAAGATCTGCCCAGCGTCGTAGCTACTGAAAATCAATACATCAAAGATTTATGGCAAGAACTAGGGTACTTAGAATGGGATCCTCTCTTATGAGGAAGTTTTGACAATAAAATTCTGTTTTCAAAAAGCTTGCATCATACTTACCAGCAATTAAAGATACAGGATTTTATTTTAGCTTTTATGGTAGTTAGAGGGCTCAAAGTTAAAGTGTGGTGGAACACTAAGTTGTCATTTTTTTTTAAAGTCATACATCAAAATTACCTTGTTGGCTTTCTGGGCAAGATTTAACAATCATGTCACACTAAAGAAGCCTAACATCAAGGAAAAATCTTGTACAAGATTTCAATGTCATCAAATGATGAGAAGCAAATAATAGTATCATGCATGTGAAACTGCTACTAAAACGTTACACCACAGAGCTTTTTCACGACTCAAAAGTTCTATTATCAGTAGTTGTCACGTTCCCATATGTGGGAATTAAGGGTTTTTCAAAGTTCAGTTTACCTCAATATGTAAAACAGGATCTTGTATTGTTCTCCATGCCTATCAATAAACAAAAGACAAGGAAGAAAGATCCAACTCTTCTAAAAGTAACAATGATGTATATCTAGTCAAGCCTCAAGAATTTAGACTTAATCACTACGAAAGAAAGCAGGGGGCAGTCATCCAGACCCTAAGATAAGGGGGGGGGGGGCTGGGCCCCTCCCCTGGATATGCCACTGGGGGTGGGTTAGCAGTGAAGACCAGAAGATATCACACTCCCCCTCTGGAAATTTAAATTAAAACTTCAGACTTTTCTTGTAAGATTTTGGCCTCTAAGACCGATCCACCCTGTTGCAATTTTAATAACCCTCGATAGGGTGCCGTAGGTTGGATGTTTTCTGGGTTCACCCAATCCAATGAGAGGCAATAAGTAATATAATAGTACACTAAAGCAGCGATAGGCAAGGAGGTGAGCTTGTAAGAGAGAGCTATGTAGAATAATTATTTTTATTATTTTGTTACACACCAAATGTGTGGAATAAATCACAAGTTTGCAAGTACAATGGGTTGGTAAGGTTACTCGTCATGTTGGGACCAGCAGGGGGAAGTGTGGGTGGTTAACTTTCAATACATACTACCTTACAAATAGCAGTGGCGGATCCAAACCTTCAGATAGGGGGGCGGGGTGGCAGTTATCCAGACTGTTTGATAAGTGGGGGGGGGGGGGGGGGGGAGGAGAAAAACTTTTGTTTTTTTCTTTGGGGGCCTGTGTTGGTCTGAAAAAAATGGGGGGGGGCTGGCGGCGGGCCCCCGCACCCCCCCCCCAGGTCCACCCGCAGTGTCGGGCGGCGAGGCATCATCCGTGACACGGACGCACATGTGTTTGTATTACTTGGAAAATTAAGATGGACGGTGTGGGGTGGTTGTGCGGGGGGGCGGGGGGGGGGGGGGGGGGGGGTGTGAGTTGACAACTTAAAACATAGGCTGAAAGGAGGGGGGCGGGAGGAGAAAGTCGGGAGTGTGGGGGGGGGGGGGGGGGGGAGTGGGTGGGGTGGGGGAGGGGGGGGGGGGGGGGGGGGGAAGAGAAAAAATTTTGTTTGCCTCTTTGGGGCCTCAGTTTGGACTTAAAATAAGGTGGGGGAGCAGCGGGCGGGCCCCCTGAGCCCCTCCCCAGGATCAGCCACTGAATAGGGGGCAGACACCTACACTGTGCAACCAGTGGATAATTGCTGGCTTGATTTGCTAAATAATCTCTGCACCCACAATGTAAGAAATGCAATTTTGCTTGTAGACTGTGCACAACCAATGTTGACATCCTGTTCAAGGCAACACCCTATTTAAGGATCAAGAACCTGAAAACCATACTCTGCTCTGCAGCATACATATATCAGTATGATGGGAGTGCTCCACCCCCAGGCCTTATATGTTAGGTAGTATAGAACGTTGACAACTCCCTCCCCGGTCCCGCTTACCCTTGCTCCTATTTGTCACACATTCTCACGTAATTAGGTCAGGTAACGTTACCAAGGCTCTGGCTCAAAGAAATTAATGTAAGCTTAGAGGAAGAACAACATTTGCAACATAGGTCAAAATCTCTTACCTCCCATTCATCCTTATCCCTGAAAACTTTTGCACGAATTTTGCTCTCATCAAAGAAATGGGTTGAGCAATCTGTAGCGATGACTTGGATATTTGGCTATATAGAAATAAGAAAAATGCTTGCTTAACCTGCAAGATCAGAATCGTTTGACATTGGCATGCTATAAATTTCACTCGATTTCTATAAGAAATGATTAGTACCTTTGATGGTAACAGAAGCAGCTCTTCCACAAGCTTGGGTAGTTTAATGCTCGCCACACTTCCTGTAACTCCAATAAGTACATTTTTCGACTGATTTGTAGCTGAAGTCGACGTTTCGGTCGCCATTTTGAATGTTATTGTCATACGAGGAGCCGCTGACCATGAGACAAACAAAAAATGGAATGTTTTGGGTTGGGAGGGGACGGTGGGGGAGCTTTCTTTTTTAGCTGCGTCACAGGTGATCTACGTTGTCACGCAAATGATTTTCAGTGAAACATGTTGCAAAAAGAAAACTTCTTCAGTCACGGTTATGTTTATTTGATACTGAAATATTGTAAAAGTAAACGTTTACACGTTTTAAATACACGTTTCAGATCTTTATTGGGCCACGCTTTAAAGCTTGCATTCGTGCTATTGAAATTACCTAGGATATTAAAATAAAGGAAAATTATTTTATATGCTGAATTATTTATTCGCTTTTGAATATCAGATGCAGCTTTGCTGAAAAGCGAGCATTCGGACGCAATGTTTTCAGTTTTCAATAGCGTTTTCGGTGGGTCTTCACCAGCGAGTTTTCACTGTCAACCGCTAGCTATATTAATGAACTGGTAATTCAGCTTAAAGCCGAAAACTCGGTTTGGGTGGTTCTCTTCCTAAAGGCATCAAACGCTAAGCCTTGCCAGACTTTGCAAATTAGATTAAATGAATACCGAGAAAATATAGTAAATTAAAGTTAAGAAAACTGCAACATGGCGGCGGCCGATCGGGAGCGACTCGCACCATTGTAAGACGCGCCTTTTTTATATCGTTTTCAGAAACGGCCGGTAAAAGTGCAAACTATGCACCAGTGCACATCTCAAGCTTTTTAAAATATTTATAATACCTGCTGTATCAAAAAATGTAAACAAACATTATGCTATGATGACAAATGCGGTATGATCTTTAAGCGCTCGTTGGAAATTGAAATATACCTATAATCCTGTATAAATTTGTAAAACATTCTAAGTTTCTATGCTCTTAACAACACTTTGTTTCCTTTTTTCGGCTTTTTCTTGTAGTTTCGTCTGTTATTTCCGCCTTTTTAGGCTTGTTATAGTCGTTTTTAACCCATCCTGGAACAAATTTCTCCATTATTTCTTGAGCCATGCACACAAAGGCATCCTCGATGCTTTCATTTTCCTTGGCACTGGTTTCAAAAAACGACATGTCGTATTCAGTAGCTAGCTGTTCTCCCTCTTCGCGTTTAACAGCTCTAGGTCCGCGCAAATCGCATTTGTTGCCAACCAACAGTTTAATTACATCTTCTTTTGCATGTTCATCGATATTCCGCAGCCATTTTGCAATGTTCTCAAAGGAACGCCTGCTTGTAATGTCGTACACAAGCATAATCCCAATGGCGGAGCGGTAATAAGAAACGCTGATAGCGTGGAAGCGTTCCTGTCCCGCCGTATCCCAGATCTGCAATCGTACACGCTTGCCTTCTACCTCTATGGTACGCAGTTTGAAATCAATTCCAATGGTTGAAATGTACGTTTTGTTAAAAACGTCTTCTGAAAAGCGCCACATAAGGCTTGTTTTTCCAACACCCGCATCTCCAAGAAGCAAGACCTTAAACATGTAATCATATATTAAGTCGCGATTAAGAAGCTTTTTATGCGCCATTGCATTGTACATGCAATGACTACTTCTTCTGGTATTTACAGGCCTTAGATTATAACTTATATTGGAATTTGTCGGCACGTTCCGGCGAGTACAGGTGGCACATAATGACTGAACTGCACTGATTGGTCAATGTTATAAAATACGTAACTTACTTGAAATTCTCGGTCTTCGATGTGTCACAAAATATTTATTATTCCGTATTCAGTATTCTAGTATCTTCCAGTTTTTGTGAAAGGGAAAACTTGAAAAACAAAATAAAAAATACGCAAACTTAAAGGCGTTTTAACTTTAAACACTTTTTAGTGAACATACCCAAGGTTAATTGTTGTTTATATTTATTCACTTTTTTATGCCTTTGATCAGTTTCTGTAAGTTTTATTCCACAGTATCTTCCGTGCAAAGGCTGTTTTGCTTTCGTGACAAACTCTACTTTCAGTTTCTAAACTCAGCTGTCACAGACTCATCTGATGCTTTAGTTTAATTTTCAATTCAGTAAAAGCCTTTTTTCTTTATATCTGATTTGATAATTACCCCAAGAGGGGGAGGGGAGTACTCCCTATAATGGCCTATCTGGGTGGCTCCGCCCAAAAGGGGTACCTTTTTCAGGCTTCAGGTGTATGAAAGGGTAGGGATTACACTAGTTGAGGTATATATGAAAGGGTAGGAAAACCTGTCAGGGACCAAAAAGGGTTAACAGAACGATTTTATGGTTATGAAAAAGTCGAGAAAATTTCCCAGCTTTGTCAGGAGTTATTCATATTAAGAAGACAGTGCATTTACAGCGGTTAAAAGAGATGGAAAGTTCTAAACTACGTAAATGATAAAGGTACTATTTTTCGATGGAATGTATGCGTAAGAGGCACCTTTTCTGTAAGATGGTATGAAATGGTATAAAAGGATAAGGGGTTAGTCCTCGGGGCGGAGCCCCCCTTTATAAAACTTTATTGAGCACCCCCGGATAATCACATGAACGTCTTTTCCCTAGCTTACCTTGTCATTGAATCCCAAAAGTGCCAAAACTCTCTAGACTGAAATATAAGCCTGAAAATTATTTCGTATATGTAATGCAAAAACAACTAGTTTAACTTAAAAGAACTGCGAAAACAGTTTATTTTTTTCTCTTACACCAGAGGATTTCGTCCACAGACTCAAGAGTTAGACTGGCCTAGAGCACGTTCGTCGACAGAAAAGCCAAGGCCGTTTATATTTGTAGTCTTCTGTTTTGGCTGGAAAACTAAGAACCCTTTCCAAACGGGCGATATCAATCTCCTTTTTTTCTGATAACAAGAAGTACGGACGTATTAAAAATCAAATTACACCTCAAACTTGTCAAGGATTAATACATGTCTAACATGCGGGGCCCATGTTGCGCCGAAGGATCCCCTCTCTTCTAAAATCGCCGTGGAATTTTTAATTAGGACCAAAGGAGCCCAAGCAGCACAAATGTGAAAGGATTTAAAGGGACAGTGTCCCGATTGTGCGCACGCGCGAGCGTCATCTGTTTTTTCTTTAAAAGACAATCGAACTGTCATATTGACTCGACAAGATTTCCTTCCGGACCGCACCGCCGACAGAGATTTGTTGTTTACATTCTCAGGTAAAATTTTAGACTTTCGAAGAAGTTTTTCGTCTTATTTTAAGACTCATCGCGATTTTGTCGCTAGCAGGGCCGCCTCGCGACCCGAAAATCTCGTTCTACTCGCTTTAAAAACACTTTTTCTAATGTGAAACTCGTGTCAGAGGTCAATTGATTCACGTCCAGTAATATTTGCCTGATTTGCTCGCGTTCTAGCCTCAAACGTTTGAAAGATATAAATAAAAATGCAATCTCAACGCGATGAATTATCGCAAAGGTTAGTCAAAAATTATATCATGATTTCATTGCACTAGGCATGTAGCGTCTGTTTGTTTGATTTTGTCGGCTGTAGGGAGGTTCATTTAAAAGTTTACTAACGCGTCGTTGCAAAACATTCCGCTACACGAAGCTTATCCACAAGATCTCCTCAGTCACATCCATGTCTCAATGGTTTCTTTCTTACAGTCTCTATTGTTGCTGTTTCATTTCTGCGTATTCCTTTCACAATTATCTGAGCTTGTATGGAAGCTGGCAGAAGAAATAAGCTTTCCATCGGCATCAAAGCGCTTCCCATCTTGTGGTCCTCCGGGAGAGGCAATAAAAGAAACGCCAAAAAATCCCGATTTCGCCCAAATCGAAACTCAGTGGGGACAATATATCATTGATCTGTAACCCTGGGAAGGTTTAGTGGAGTATCGAACTCGGCCAAGCGCGATGCAAACGGATTTTTCAAGGTTCTCTTACTCTCCACGAATCTTTTGATTTCGCGACATCCTGTCCAAAAATCAAAGTTTGGTGCATGCGCAGTAACGGGATACTGTTCCCTTAAGAGTGGCTTTCCGTAAATATCGACCCACGGTCGGCACAAGTTCAAAAATTTGATTTCGCTCATATTTGGTTCATCGATAACCCTTGAAACATGCTGTAGTTAGTTTTCCCAAATAAGGAATTCTTTTGTTAAAATTCGAGAAAACTCATTTTGCCCGTTCGGAGCTCAAAATCCACTTCCGGTAAAGCGAAATTTTACACAAATTCTATTGACTCGTACGTCAAACCACAACTATTTGGCAGCCTTTGAAGAACACGAATAGTTTTTATGACCCTTTCTTTATTATAAGGCGATAAATTTGTGAAAGCTGTAATAATTTTGTGGCCAAAAAGGTATTGTTAAAAATAGGCACTATTGACAATTTCTGCCGTTCAAAATTATAGGGATGAAATAATGCAAATTTTTACAATGCGCTATAACTTAAAATTCCGAAAATTGACATTCTACTGCTTAACTAGGCCCCAGTCTACTAGAAAATTGAAACAAACCTCTGGGCAAACGATTTTAAGTAGCCCGCAAGACGTTGAGTTCAACCCTAATTTTGCAAAAAAAACGCGACATTGCCGTGATTAAAAATAGCGTTACACGGCCCGTCACGCCAGTGTTACCGATAGATATGCTTTAAACAATTTACTTAAAGGCAGATTAAAAGCCAGTTCGAAATTAAATCTTTCAGTAAACCTATTATTCTCATTGATTGCAGCATTTTCTTCAGATACAACATTTAGGGTCCCTGGGATAGCGTCACATACTTTCATGTTCAGTTAGCCTGCGAGCAAGCTCTCCTATAGATCGTTTTCACTGTCACGCAACAAAAAATTAAATTGGAAACCGTCCAGTGGAAGAAGCCAAGAAAATGAAATGTTGTAAAAGACTAATATATAAAGAATTTGTCCAAGTCTCAGGTCTTTGTGGCCCATAGTTTCTGAGTTATTTGCCGAAACGTTTCACGCACCTTTGTAGAGCTTTGTATGGAGACGCCATATTGGTGCACCGTTTTGGTGCACCAATATGGCCACCGGAAATCAACAAAAACAACTGGAGTTCAATTTTTCTATAAAAGCTCTTTCTTTTCACTCGAGAACTAGCATATACGTACACATAAACATATCTTCTAATACTTGAACTGGTTATACTGCTGACAATCAAGAGAAGAGACTTTTTTTCAACGAGACAGCATTCCTATTCTGGTGTCACGCACTGTGAAAACTCGGAAGTTCAAATTGCTGTATTTGCGAAACGAAACATGCTAAGGAAACGGAAACTTGTACAAAGATTTACTTTTTGTTTATCTTCAACCTAGTGTAAATAAGAATTCGTAAAACCTCGCTATTTGGACTTTACAATTTGATGACGTCACAGTGAAAACCATCTATTTGGGCAAGCAAAGCGAGCCTCGCGAGAACGCGCGAGCGAGGGGCCGAGGAAAGGAGAGCTTGCAACCATCTCTTATAAATTTTTTTTTCCACCCCGGAAACCCCGGGACTCCGCAAAGCGTGAAAACTGTCACCGCAAACGTGCCGCAGATTAGAAAAGTGACAACCGCCTGTCAAGTAAGTTTAGACAGCCGAGGGCGCGTAGAATTATTTATTTATGAATCGCTTTCGCAACAGCATCAAGGCAATGTTTTTAATCACCGATATGTTTTTTTTTTTTTTCACGGGGACATCGAACTTCAACGTGTCCGCTCGGATAAGAACTCACTACTTTGATTCTCGTTTCGTTTACTTTTGAAAAGTCGTCCATACTGTAGTGTAGAAGACTACTCCCCATCGCAATCACCAACAAAAACATCATATATTTGCCCGTCTGGAACTGGAGAATAGCGTTTTCCTGCACTTGGTTCTCTTAAGGTTTACTCCAGTTGCTTCCAACTCTTTCTCTTTTCCTTCTTTACGGTCAAGCTACATAGCTACAGTGTCAAGTACATGTTTCTGAATTTTTCTACCCAGCAGAATTCAATCGGGCGAAGAAACCGATGTTGGAAGACAGCGCTTTAATCACTCTTCACTTTCACTCTCCCGGTTTTCAGAACTAAACAAGGCGCTGGACACAAATGAATACAACTGATGAAGGATTTTCATTGTCCTTCCACAAGAACTACAAACTCGGTCCGACTTATCCTCGGCACGCAATATTCTCTTTGCGAGAATTACATCAAACGAGCCCGTCTGCATTGAGGGCTAAAACAAGTTCTCGGTACCAATCTGATCCCCCTGAGAACCAAATTTGACACACAGACGAAGCGGGTGCCAGCTTGGCCTGTTATCAATCAACTTTGATTTCCCGAATGTCATTTTTCAGCCAATGGTATTTCCCTTCGTCTGGGCGAAGTACAAATGAAAATTTTAAAGAGATGGTACCAAGCTCTCCTTTCGCCGGCCCCTCGCGGCTTCGCCGCTCGCTCCCGCGTTCTCGCGCGGCTCGCTTCGCTCGCCCAAATAGGGGAGCTTGCTCGCAGGCTAATGTTCAGTTTCAGACTGGCGATTTCCCTCAAAAAATGGTATATAAACAGAACAAAATCTAAAAACTAAAACTGATTACTGAATGAATTTTTGCATTGAGAGATATTTGGGAATTAAATGATCGCCAATCAATGTCATTTGGTTTATAAAAACTAATTTCCTTGAAGCAATTTTAAAGCCTAAAAATATTTTAGACTAAGTATTGGTGCAATAGTTCTTTTCGAAGTTTACCGGAAGTGGATTTTGAGCTCCGAACGGGCAAAATGAGAATTCCTTATTTGGGAAAACTAACTACAGCATGTTTCATTACTCATTAAGGGTTATCGATGAGCCAAAAATGAGCGAAATTCGAATTTTGAACTTGTGCCACAAAAAGTCGATTTTGGTCGATATTTACAGACAGTCGCTCTTAAATGACAATCGCTTTACCCAAGTTGTGTGTTTCTTCTTTCCTGTGTGGTTCCCGAGCCGATTTATGGCCATTTTATGGATTTTATTACAACTTTTTTGCCCCAAGGGATAGGGATTCAGACCAATAGTTGGGCATAGGTAAGTCGCTGAGGACAAAAAAATCCTAAAATACAGACCCTGTTTGGGACAACACCCTCAAATTAATTACCTTGTTCAGGACAACGGAAAAAATGCACGCCGCATTGTTTACAGACCATCTATCGGCACTGAATTGCAATAGAGCAAATTCGCGTTATAATAATTGCTTTTGTTCTCATGGAGTAAAAACAAATTTCACCAAACCAATGAAATCATCGTCAATCGTGGAGGCAATACCTTGCTTATCAGAACAGACTCGCACGAAATTACATACCCTATTTTGGACAGAGAGGACAAACAACCATACCCCATCTGTCCAGCGCCACATCCCCCTATAGGCCATATAAGGGAGTACATCCTCCCTTTTTGCTATCTCTATAATCCTTTACAGAATGCGCAACAATGTGTATACTCATATTTCGGGCTTGAGTCACCTGTGTTGGACAGATTTTTTGGATCAAATCCATAACAGATGTATGACGTACTTGCGAATAATTAGAAACAGTTCAAATCAATTTCGTTTGGTCACGTAGTCTCCTATACCAATAACAATCCATTGTTTTTATGGTCAAATTTTCAAATTCTTATTTGTAACGAACTTTTAGTTATATTTCCATTTTTTTTAGCTCCTAAAGAAGGTTTGTTTTCAAACCGAAATATTGGGCAATTTTTTTAAATACATATATTTTTGTTTTATTCTAGTTTGCCGTTTCATATTTCTCTACAATTTAGTTTAATTGTACTGATCCAAGTCTACAATGATCCGGCACCACTCCTTGGTTTGTTGCTGTGGACTTGCTGACATTTTATAGCGGAGCTCTCGCGCGCCAAACGCGCGCAGCGGAGCACCATGGGTAAGAAAATTTAGTTATCTACCAAACCGAGAAAATTTGGTTATGACGTCAGCGTACTCCGTCTGTCCGTACTCTCTTTCGGGCTGAGGGAAGGGAATTACAAGTGTCAGCCCGTCGGGGGAGGAGTATGTTATAGCTGAGGTGAAATTTTCCATGTCAAGCTCCTCGCTCGTTTTCGGCGGTAAATCACATGGCCGCCTGGGCTTTTAGCGGAGAAAACAACAACAACAACAACAACAAAACGAGTCTTTCTTTCCACTAAATTGTAATGTCTACATTAACTTAGATAACAGGGAAAGAGCTAGGAGCGAGAAATAAATAACTACGGAGACTAATTTCGTTGGAAGAAAAACATGAAAATTATATAGCGGCGATTAGAAAATGAGAAATGCTAGCGGCTACCTATGTGAAAATGAGCGGCAGTGAAAAAGCAGAATGAACAGGGACACAAACATTTCCTCCAATAAATATTAAAGAGAGGTTCGCTTTTAGCCCTGGCTAAATCTATATATTATATTTCAAAATTTGACAGGTGAGTTCATGCGGAAAATTTATGCAGCATCTTGAAACTTGTTTACTTTGACAGCTGAAGCTGACAGAGTTTTGTGTCAACTTTTTAACTTTCCACTGGATGTACAAAATTAAATACAGCTGTTACCAAGAGTCTTCCGTTATTCATGGCTAGATTGTTTATTAGATTTTTGGTTGAGAGATGATATGCGTCGCTTGTGAAAGTCGGATTCGGATGGCATCGTTTCTCCTTGCTTGATGCATAAAAGGGTGAGAGGGCCTTACTTGATAGCTTTAAGGGGCTGCATCTAGAATGGAAAGCATAAGTAATTATTGTATTTGATTTTTGTTTTTTATATCTAATTTCACCAAGTCGAGCACAGTTTATGCGGCAAGTTTAGGCACGTTTGTAAGATTTAAGACAATGATCTGACCTAGTATCAGGTTTGATATAAGCTTACAGAACTTTAAAAAGGCTTTAGATATATTCTTACCGCAAATAGAAAGAAACGTTACGAAGAATATTTAGTTAAAAATTTGGCCGTAGAAAGAAAACTTTGAGCGATTCTTTTGCCTTGAGTTCATCTTTGAAAAAAAGCAAACACCGGGAGGCCAGCTTAAAACATAGTTAAGCTTTAAGCTTTAAGACTCCGGAGTTTTAGAAACACTTTAATACGTGTTTTCGTGAATGAAAATTGATGTCTCTGTAATTAATGTTTCACCGAGTTATAATTCTTTTATTGATTGTTAGTAGTCTCTCTTGCAATTTTAATCACTGTGCCTTTTGTTTTCAGTCGTTCATGAACATCGCTTGCAGGAGTACTCAAAATGCCGCGCGTATCAAACGCCTTTTAAAATTACACATCATTATAAAACCATTAAATAAAAAAAAATAAACATAATAAATTCTTTATCATGTTGAAGCGTTACGGCATTAATGTTCACTGCAAATTTGGCGCTCGTCAAAAGTGAGAACCGGCTGGCCGTATAGGTGATTTTGGAAATCTTTGGAACAGTTTCGTAAAAAGCCCACGATGGATCGTCCTGAATATATTAATTGACTGAGTGCAATTTGTCTTGAAAAATTGTGAAATACTGCATTCTGTCCGAGGTCTGTATGATAAATAGTACTGTTTCACCTCGGATGTAATGTATAAAAAGTATTAAAAGGTTGGTTTACACACCCCCAGATTTGCTGGCAAGATTTTGTAAAGTAAACTTGTCGAAAGCAAAAAATTCGGCCTGATTTGTTTTCCAAGAATTTGTTTTCCAGGCCTAATCTACTCTGATCAAGAGCCATTATGGCTCTTGAATGTGATCGAAGATGATTGCTATTTTTGGGGTGTACATATAAGGCTATCAGCTCGATGTAAGATGTTTCACTCTTTAGTTAACTGATTTGTGAATTACAAGTTTATTGTTTGATTTAAATTATAAATTTATTAATGGGAGCTTCGCTTTTAGCCCTAGCTAAATCTATGTATTAGGAGAAATGTTATCAGGATTGCACGGGTAGATGTGGATTGACAGTTCAATCAGAATTTATTGCCATTTCGACCACATTTTGGAAAGAATGGATTGCGTTAACTCTCTGGCAGGTCACTTATAATAATTGCAATGGCCCAAACCTGCGATGACTAACATACTTTTCAATGGACCCGAAAGCCGGAGCAGGGCCGTCAACAAGACACAGAGGAGAGGCTACAGCGACTATAGACTTGTCCAGACAGCTGTACAGAGGCAGCGACAAAATACCGAAATTACAATGCGAACCTGAAACCGATAAAGAGAGAAAACCTCCGATTGCAGACGCTTCGAGAAAATGCCGCCAATAGAATTCGCAACGAAAGCGACGAAGAGACGCAAAGGCGACTGGAAGTTTATCGTCCCAGAGATCTGCTCTTCCCAGAGTTTTTGTCTTTACAGGTTGATAAGGCAATGTAAATTACACGCTGTGATAAATTTTTTATTCATTTTTTACATAAGGTCAGAGACAGTTGAATATGAAGCAGAGATAAAACAATATGGTCACTGTACGGTTTTCCTGTTCAATTTATAACTAAAAGAGATGTGACCATTTTGACCTAAAAACCAAGACTGAATCTTGAAGAAATTAGGGTAGTGCAATTCGACCATTTTAACACAAGGATAACTTACCAAACCAAAGCTAAGGAAATGTGGTAATCTACCCACCCGAGAAAATTTGGAAATCACGTGACCGTACACCGAGCGAGCGAGCAGGCATATATGAATGTAAAATAAATCAACAGGTATGGCAAGCCAAATGCAACTCAAGGTTTTATTTGGTACGAAATCACATGGCCGCCGTCTTTTTCGGCGTTATTTTTTATGTTTACACTAACGTAAATAACACAGAAAGAGCTAGAGCGAGTTATTGAAAACAAGGGAGACGAATTTCGTAGGGCGAAAAACATGGAAATTCAAAGCGGCGGTGAAAAAATTAGAAATGCTAGCGGCCAGCAAGGTGAAAATGAGCGGCGGTGAAAAATAAAGGCGAACATGAACACAGGAAACAAAAAAAAGGGTAAACACATACGACAATTCCTCCATAAAAATAATGTGTAACTAGGAAGTTTGACGTTTAAGTCGTAGAAAACAGCGTTGTAGTGGTGCAAAACAACGGAAAGGGGAAGACAAAAAAGCGTGCTGCACGTGCAAATTTGCTTTTTGCTAATTAGAAGAAAGAGTGTGCTGCACGTGCAAATTGTTTTTTTGCTAATTAGATCTATTAGTCTTGAAGCCATTTCGTTTAACATTACACGATTTAATTTTTTTTGTTTATGAGTATTATTAAGGTGGCTTGATAGAGTTTTTCAGGCTCAATACCTCCCAAGTTTGAGCGTAAACTACGTCGCCATAAACAAAGATTTAGAGAAATTAACACCACAGTTGTATTAGATAAAGATGAAAATTTGTTATGATCAGGGTTGCAATGACATCGGAGTTGTCATAGCAACCAAATGACGCCATTACCTATTTTACTTGCAGCAGTATTTCTCGGCACTGGGAACTGTTCATCCAAAATCGTTTACTAGAGCTTTTTCCTACAATAGCGGCCTCGATATTCGTGAAGTTTAAGCGAAATCTGTAAGAGCGTTATCGAGATATTTTGGGAAGGAGTTTTTATGGTTAGAAATACGGTAAAAAATGGACAATCTTGATGTTCGACTGTTACCTGTACTAAACGAAGCGCCTTTGACATACAATTTCATCTCATGGTAGTTTCAATCTTTTTAAAAACGTGCGTGAAGGATCATGGAGATACCTCCAGCCGATTGCTAGAAAGAAGGATTTGATTAGTATGTATCGGGGCGCTCTTGTTAGCGGTAATGTAAACATTTCGGTCTACTTTAACAAAGTAGCGAATAATTTTTAAACCGCTCGATAAATTTTTTTTAAAATTTAAGAGTCTTAAGATAAACCGTCCTGTTACATGACTTTTTAGTTTCAAGATTATTGATATATTGTAAGGTAGTAAAATAAGTGCTTCAATTCGCTAATATTTTGTCAGAAATTTTGTGTTTACAAGTGAGAGCCTCTTATTATTCAGGGTATTGTCTTAAAGTTTCATTTTCACGTGAACAGCAGTAACTAACAATGCATTTGACATATGCAAAAATGCTAGCTATTGTTGTACACGAAAATATGAAACTTGGAGACAATACCCGTGAATAATGAGAGGCTCTCACTTGTAAGACAAAATTTCTGACAAAATATTAGCGAATTGAAGCCCCTATTTTACTGCCTTACAATATATGAATAATCTTGAAACTAAAACGTCATGTAACAGGACGGTTTATCTTAAGACTCTTAAATTTTTGAAAAAATTTATCGTGCGGTTTAAAAATTATTCGCTAATTTGTTAAAGTAGACCGAAATGTTTACATTACCGCTAACAAGAGCGCCTTAATAAACACTAATCAAATCCTTTTTTCTAGCAATCGACTGGAGGTATCTCCATGATCCTTCACGCACGTTTTTAAAAAGATTGAAACTACTATGAGGTGAAATTGCATGTCAAAAGCGCTTCGTTTAGTACAGATAACAGTCGAACATCAAGATTGTCCATTTTTTACAGTATTTCTATCCATGAAAACTTCTTCCCAAAATATCTCGATAACGCTCTTACAGATTTCGCTTAAACTTCACGAATACCGAGGCCGCTATTGTAGGAAAAAGCTCCAGTAAACGATTTTGGAAGAACAGTTCCCAGTGCCGAGAAATACTGCTGCAAGTGAAATAGGTAATGGCGTCATTTGGTTGCTATGACAACTCCGATGTCATTTCAACCCTGATCATAACAAATTTTCATCTTTATCTAATACAACTGTGGTGTTAATTTCTCAAAATCTTTGTTTATGGCGACGTACTTTACGCTCAAACTTGGGAGGTATTGACCTTGAAAAACTGTATCGAGCCACCTAAACCAGAGCTTCGCTTTTAGCCCTGGCTAAATCTAAATATTATAGGAAGTTTTATTCTAAAGAGTCAATCGTTTTTTCAAGATCAATAAATATCAGCAGACCAGGCATATTTTCCTTATCTGTTCAATCCATGATATCGAAAATCGACCTAAACGCCTTTGGGAACTAGACATTTCTTCTTTATCAAAGGATTCATTGACACAATCTATGAAAGGTTCACTAATTAGATCCCAGCAGCTTTTGTAAAACTCAATGGGGAGACCATCATTCCCTGGTGATTCATTGTTTTGGAACGTTTCTATAATTGCCCTGCAATCCTCGGTAGTAATCCGTCCTTCACACGATTGCCTTTGTTCTTCCGATAGTTTAGGAATTATATTTAAACTATTTAGAAATGCCTCTATGGAATCCGAATCCTTTACAGAATCATTTGTTTTGTAAAGGTTTAGATAAAATCGTTTTTGTTCAGAGAGTAATTGTTGTAACTGTTGTACTTTGGAATAAATGAAATTAAATAAAAAAATAATCATTAATGCTTATTTAGCTGACAACTGACAAAAATCTAAAATTTAACTGACAAATGGCCAAAATTTTAACTTGCAACTGACATTTATACCCCCTCATCAAGACCCTCTAATCAGTTTAACTTCACTTTTTATGCAAGATAGACTCTCTATGAATAGTAATCATTGTTTTTATTCATCATACAGGGCCGATATAGATCTGCAATTTCTCGTAGCATTGTGGCTTGGGTTGAGAACAGGAACAAGAGAAAGAATGCCAAAAAATCCGATTAGATTCCGTAGTCACCATCTTTGGCTTTTGTCACTATCCACAATATTTACCTTGTGCCTCTTCTACGTGCGTTGGTCGCATGTGTGGAACATGGATAGCACTAACCCAGGGTGAGCAAAACCTTACACATTTTTAAATTTGTAATTTCTACTTCTTTTTGCTTCACACGACTGACAAGCAGCTTAGAAACTTGTTAAGCAAAAAATTATTTATACATGATATGATTTTACTGAATCATCCTTCTGTGATAGAGAGTAAAAATGCATCAACGAAGGTAGGTCGTTTTTTCTTTTACGGTAATTGTAACGAAAGAAATTTTAAAAAGCGGCAACATGAGGGAGAGGTGTCAGCCCGTCTGTACCTCCTTAGCTAACTCAAGGAAGTAGATTTTACTGCGAAAGATTAGGCGACTGCTATCGTTACCCGTACCTGTCGTATCACCGTATCTTATCTTTATTGCTGTAATAGAGAAATTTTATAAAGCGGTAAACTGGAGCGAAAGGTCTCACCCCTTGTGTACCTCCTGAACTAACTTAAAGAAGTAAATTTACCAAACGTCGAACTTTACATGTGCCGAACCCAATACCTATTTAGGTCGACCCAAACTATTAAGTTCGGTCGTTGATTCAGACGGTCGAGCTTTACACGTGCCGAACCTAATTCGAGGCGAAAAGAAATATCATCCTTACAGCTTAAAATAGGGAAATAAACTAAAAACAAGTAAAATTCACCAAGCCTGGAAATTCTTGTTTTGATTTTTAGTGGGATTTTTGTTCTGGTATGGCAAGGAGACCGCTGAGGAGATCGTGAACGTGATATTTGGACTAAATACAGTAACTCCATAAATTTTAAAAGACATTACGAATTCTTTATGGATGTAAAGAAAAGCAACTCTTTAGAAGACCGTTTTAAGCTGTCCGGTTTCAGTTTAAATATCTACAACGTGAATGCTGGGAACCGTCATTACGCTTCCGTGAGTTCTGCCCGCACAGCCGCGAAAATCCACTAAATAGCCAATCAGAAGCGCCGTTATATTGAAAAATACGTTAACATAATTTATGCATTAGGCTCGGCACATGTGAAGTTCGACGTATGAATCGAAGTACGTTCGAAGTCGATCTTTTGCCGTTTTATTCGACAAGCTCAGTCGAATAGAACGGCAGAGTCGACCCAAATACAAAAGTGCCGTTCCTAATTGATTCATACGTCGAACTTTACATGTGTAATTTGTAAAATGTTGCAGATTTTTCTAGTCATACATTTTAAAGGACTTCGTCGTCCATAAAATGGAAAATTTCAAAGTTTCACGTCGTTGTGGTAGAATGACGTCAGCAACGGTGTGATGTACTTTTACGTTGTTGTTTTGCATAAAAGCTTACTGCTTTTTGGACGATCTTGTTTCCGTCGCCGTTGTTTAGCTCCTAACAGGTTTCTCAAGTACCTTTCGGAAGACCT